TTAGGCTGGAAGCCTAACGAGTGTAGGAAATTAATTTCTTCCCTTCCTCCTCTCCCCGAGGCAGAGGCTCTGCTCAGCAGGCCCTGCACCCTCCCGAGCCCACAGGCCTCTTGGGCTGCCCTCCCCCCGTGTATTTTGGAGGCTGTTTAACAAGGGAGACGGAGGGGACGGCTCAGCTGGGGGGAACAAAGGCGCCTTCAGTGCTCGCTCTGCGCCCGGCGCGGGGCTGGCGCTCGGGGTGTTGCTAATGAGCTCACCCCATGCCATGCTGGGGGACAAACCTCGCTCATGGGCACCCCTGTTCCTCCTATGCGGCGGGGTCTCCTTGCCCCCCTCACCACCTACTTTGTCACTATTCATAGAAACCCACTTGCCCTTTTGCCCCCGAAGCCTTGACACAGGAGCTGGTGGATGCGATAGAAGATGTCCTACACACAGCAGGGAATGGGGATTCTGGAGAGCATCGTGGCCAAGGCTTTGACGTACTGTAGGAAGGTGTGTGCCTGGTCCCCATCTCCATGGGAGCTCATGGCCAGCTGAAAGCCTGTGAGCTGGGGTGGCAGGAAGATGGGTGTCTTCCTAGATGCTTGCAGGTGCTGAGTGGACAGGGCAGCATCTTGCTTTTTGTCCCAGCTGCTTTCATGCTAGTCCTCTGCCTCACCAAGTCCTGCTAGGGTGGACGTCTCACCTGACAGGGAGATCACTACCACAGCACTGAGAAGGAGCCTGATCCCATGCTGCCTGTGCAGCACTTTGCAACCATCCCAGGGAGGGTCTGTCCTGTCCCTCCTTCCTGCTTCTGCAGAGGGGCAAGTAGAGGGCTATGGGATCCAAGCTCTTGGTGCTTGCCCCTGCTGTCACAGTTTAGGGTCAGGGCTGCCCCCAGACATGTAGCAGATGCTGTTAACCGCTCAGGGAATAAGGGAGAGAGACTCATCGCTTAGCAGCAACATGGGTCGCTGGCATGGTATTGCATCAGACGGGAGAAAGGGCAGTTAATTAGAAGAGCTTTAGCTGAAAACTAAAATCACCAAACAGAATCAGTTCTGTTCTATCCCAAACCAGGACACCCGCTCACCACACATCTGAGGCTCTCGCATGGCCAGAGCAGCTCCCCACCTGAGGAAGTGTGTGCTGGAGGGGGGCAGCGAGCAGAGCATCAGCAGGACCTGGGTCTCGTGGCTGCCTGTCTGCTGTGGGGTGTTTTTCCAGCTTAAGGAGCAGGAGCCCTGTTCCCCCCTGTGGTTTTCCTCTCCTTCCCCACAGGCTGGGGGATGCTGGCATCTCCCCAGGCTTACTTCATCCTTCTGGAGCTGTACTGGGGCTTCTCCTTCTGCCTGGGGGCTACCTGTCCTGATTCAGCCTGCCCATGGGAGATGGGCACTAGCAAAGCTGTGTATGCCAAAAGGGCTGAGGTTGCTCTTTAGCTTGGCTCTGGGGAGGGAGGAGGAAGCAGAAGGTCTGTGGAGATAGAAGTCAGAGTGTCAGGAAGAGACTTGTGAGCCACATCCTGCCTTGCGTCCTGGGGAGATGGCAATTCAGGGCTGGGCACACTGTCCCCTTGCCCAGGGGCTCATCTTGGCCAGGCACTGATCCACACGAACCCACTCATGTTGGGCTCCTCTTCAGTCAAAACGCTTTGAAACAGCAGCTGGTTTTACTGTGCTGTCCCTGTGCTGGCAGTGCCAGCCTGTTCCCCACTGGCCCTGGGAGGCTTGCTTCATGCTGTGGCTCACAGGGGTGGAAGGTAGGCACCCAAAATCCTGGGTCAAACCTGTAGCAGCCCAGTTTTTGAGGGGTGTTGGGTCCAGCAGACTTGTTAAAGAACACGAGTAAGGAGGATGCCATCAGCAGCACTGCATCCTGCCCTTCCCCTGGGAAATACAGCCCATGCCAGCCCTCGCTGCTGCCCAGCTCTGCCCCTGGCAGACCCTGAGGGGCAGTGGTGGGAATGGGTACAGCCTGCACAGAGTGTCACTGGTGCTCTGTGCTGCCAGGGCACATGCTCTCCCCTCCTTGCAAACAATCCCCATCAGTCAGCACGTCCAAACCGCGTCTGTGGTCACCTCTGGCCTCTCCTCCTGTCCCTGGAGACCCAAAGCCAGCTGCAGGCCACCCCAGCTGTGCCACAATGACTTTTGGTTGCTGCCAAGAGAAAGGATCCTACTCACGCTTGCACTGAAACAAACTGCAGCTTTCTTTCCACCCTCTGTAGCCTCCAGAGCTGCAGGTTTACTGGTGTCCCCGTGCTTGGCTTCTCCAATACAGGCTATCTCCTGCAGGTGCTGGACCCTGCAGGAGCTCCCTGGATACCAGTGAAGCTGGGCAGCTGTGTGCTCCCAGGTAAAACAGGAGCTGGGCTTTGGATCCAGCTCAGTTTTGTCTTGTCTTGCTCAGAGGAGATAAGGTATGGGAAGAGACCTAAGATGAGGATGTTGGTGTATGTGCAGAATTGGGGGGGTGTGAGCTCATGAGATATTTGGAGCCCAGAGCTCAGCTTGGTACTCCCCACCCTTCCCATCCCTGACCCACATTTTCCCAAAGCTGTCAGTCAGCTGCTGCCAGCACTGTACATGCTACTTCAGTGAAGTATTTTCCTTGTAGCCCTGCTCTGATATGCAAACAGCCAAGTGTTTTCTGCTGCACGAACAACCCCACAGCTGCAGTGTGCTTTTGCCTCATAAAAACCAGCCCATGAATCACCATGTCAAAGAGAAGCCCCACACGTTCATGTGCTGTGTCTGTAATGGTGATTCCTGGTGAATTCTCTTCTCCTGATTTTTGTTGGGCTCTCCCTATCTCCCCTGCCTGGTTCTGTCAGCTGACTGGTGCCAAGTTCAGGTGCAGCACTGGCCCAGGAGCTGGTGGGTACCGGGAGCCCACATGCTGGAACATGGACAAGTGGTGGTTCTGGCATGGTTCGTCTTTGCCAAGATTCCAGCTTCTCTGATTCTCTTGGCGACCTCTGGGGCCATGTGTATTGGACCAAGGCTCAGCTAACACAAAGCTGGGTGGGGAAGATCCCTCCTGTGCTGCAGTCCCTGCCCCTCCCCGGGCATCTTTTAGGTGCCTGTGTGAGGCAGGGACTGTCCCTTAGGGCAGTGACTCCGTGCCTGGAGGGAAAGAGTGGGGGGGCCTTGAAGCCCTGTGGATGAGCTGGGATGATACAGGGAAGGAGTGACCACAGAGCAGAGGAGCTGCTGGTGGTGAGTATGGGGAGGAAGGCTCTAGCCTGGGTATGGTGACTCTGTGGAGGTAGCATTGGTCTGGGAGGTCACAGGTGGTCTGAGCACAGCAAGGGAACAGGAATGTCCCCCAGCAGGCGAGGGGTGGGAGGATGTCTCCCTGGATAGCATTGCAAGGTGGCTCTGGAGATGGCATTTGGGTTTCCTTCCTTTCCTTCCTTCCTTCTCTCCACCACACCCAGCAACAATGATACGCTGTTGGGCAGACAGAGCTGTAGTTTTATTTGCATGGAAAAATACGTCTGTTGAGCCCTTTGATAGTGGTCCAGTAGCCTGCAGAGCTGGTGTTCCTATTCACAGGCTCAGCAGGCTGCGTCCTGGCATCTGCATGCGTGGAAGAGCTCGTGCAGGGAAGGAGCACGTGTACCCTTAGCAAAACCCTCCTGAGCTGTGCTGGGCCACCTGGCAAACACCTTCATCCTGAGGTCTTCCACAAGCTCCAGGCTCAAGGCTTTCTGCCTTGTCTTAACTCCAGCACCCCGACACCACCCTGGCTGATGGGCTTTTTTCCTGCTCTCCCCAGTGCTGGACCAGCTCCTGCCAGAGCTCAACGTCTTGCTCAAGCTGCTGGACCATGAATACCTGAGTGCCACCACACAAGAGAAGAAGCTGGCTGTCTCTACCATCCTGCAGAAGCTACAGCCACCCGCAGGTCTGTGTCCAGCTCCCACAGTGCCTGGTGGGCATCCCCAGGGGCAGTGGGTGTCCCCAGGGGCTGGGGGTGTCCCCAGCAGCTACCCTGCATCAAAACCCCAGCGGGTAGGGCAAAACCATCAGCAGGGATGAGCTGCCGCTGCGCCCAGCACCTGCTCAGCACCCTCGGGGTGCTTCGCTCCTCGCTCTCGCTCCCCAGCTTCCCCGGGCGCAGGGGCCCGTGTCAGCCCTGCTATGGCTGCAGTGGGCTGCTCCCTGAGGAGAGGTGCTCCACAGAGCTCTTCCTGCCACTTGTTTCTGTGGGAAGGCTGGGAGGGATGTGCATCTGGGGCTCCACAGCATTGCCACCCTCCTGCCCTCCTGGGGCAGGGGTGGCAGCATCCCGGGGCTCCTCCACTCCCCGGGCGGGCGCCTGCTCTAGAGGAGTGCCCCGTGGCACAGTGGGGCGGGCTAGCCTGTGTCCTCGGGTCGGCGTTTGTGGGGAGCCCACCCCCGGGCTGAGAGCATCCCCCTCGCTCCCAGGGAAGGACGTGGACTACATGTATGTCAACACGGCGTCGCTGAGCAATGGCACCAGCTTCGTGGAGTCTCTCTTTGAGGAGTTTGGTATGTTCAGCCGACCCAGAGTGATGTCCTAGGGGTCACGCTGGGTGCAGCTCTGGCCCTGGGTCCCTGCTGAGAGCAGGGGCTCTTGGGGTACCCCGGGGAAGGAGGGAGAAAGCTGTATCCTTGTGTCCAGGGTGGGCATCACCACCCCAGGCACTTGCTTTTGCTCTCTCGTTGCTGTCTGGGGCCTGGCCACAGCAGGCCCATGCACCAGCTGTGTTTACCAGCGATGCCCATTTCCCAGCACCTTCCCAGCAAAGGGCCACGGGTGCTTGCCTTGGGGGGCCCTGGAGGGCATGGCTGGGGAGGCCAGCTCTGGGGCTTCCTGCTCCCTTCACCCTCTCTACCCCGGTGCAGACTGTGACCTGCGGGATCTCCAGGACATGCAGGAGGAGGAGGGCGACACCAGTGATGGCATTGGACTGGAGCTGGAGAGGAGCCAGACAGAAAAAACTGTAAGTCCCTGACTGCCCACCCGCAAGGTCTGACCTGTACCCGCACGGGGAGGGCTGAGACCCTTCCTGTCCCTTGCCACCGCAGTAGCTGCTGGGACTCATGACCCTCTCGGCTGCCTGGGTAATGCTGGTGGTGTTTCTGCAATAGGTTCCTGTGGACCCTGCTCCGCCACTGCCCACCACCCCCCCACCGGAGGATTACTACGAAGAAGCCCTGCCCCTGGGCCCTGGCAAAGCCCCCGAGTACATCACCTCCCGCAGTGAGTCCTGCTCCATGCTGGGTGCCAGGAGCACATTGGGAGCCCCACAAGTTGCCCCCCACATCCCCTCGCCTGCCTGCCCACTGGGCAAAGCAGGCAGCCCTCGGTGGGCACAGCGGCTCGTCCTGGGGAAGGAAATGCTGCTCCCACTGGCCCGGCTCCTGTCCCGCTCCCTTCCCCTCCCGCTGTGCTGTTATTGCAAGGAGTTGCTTGCTCTGGCTCGACTGGGAAAGGGGTGGTGGGGAGAGGTTGGAGCCGTGGGGGGAATGATGTCAAGGTGCCCTGGGAGGGTGTGCTTTGCTCTGCCCTGGCTCACAGGCTCATTGCTCAGGGCATCCTTGGGTGCAACCCAGTTGTAACAGCCTCAACTGCCCTCCGCTTCCCCAACAGACAGCTCCAGCCCCCCCAACTCCATTGAGGACGGCTACTACGAGGATGCAGACAGCAACTACCCTGTCACCAGGATGAATGGGGAGCAAAAAAGCTCCTGTAGGTATTCTGGTGTATTTGCCAGGGAGGGGAGAGCTTCAGCAAAGTCCAGCCATGAGATGGGGGCTGAGAGTGGAGGACCCCTCGTGTCAGAGGCTGCAGGCAAAAAGCAAGGGGTGTGGAGTGCTGTTTGTCACACAAGCCAGAGCCCTCGTGCTGCAGAAGGGATGTGGCCCGAGCTGTGCCCGCCACCAGCACGGGGAAGGGCTGTACCTGGCTATGCAGGTCCCTGGGCATTCCCTGCCATGCTGGAGAGGGGCTGGGGCAGGGACACCACTGCTCATGTGTGCCCTGTGTGGGAGGAGTGGGGCAGAGGGCCAGCACGTGATCCTCTGTGGCGGGTAGAAGGTTTAATCCAGGCTTTCAGTGTGAGCCTGACAAATAAATAAGCCAGGGGTCTGGACAGATGCACCTGGGACTGGCGTTTGGCCCCATGAGCATCCTGCCTGGTTTGGAAGGGAAATGGAGATGGCTGGGGCCAAACCTCTGCTGTTTTCAGAGGATGACATGGAGTCCATCCATCCTGGCACCCAGCCCAGGCTCTGTGCTGGAGCCTATGAGGCACGGGAAGCCCTGGCAGTGTGCGAGCGTGCCCACCAGGCAGGGCCCAGGGTGGCACCCACGGTGACTCGCCCGCTTCCTTCCAGACAATGACTCGGATGCGATGAGCAGCTCTTACGAGTCCTACGACGACGAGGAGGAGGAGGGCAAGGGCCAGCAGCTGACACACCAGTGGCCGTCAGAGGAAGCCTCCATGAACCTGGTGAAGGATTGCAGGATTTGCGCTTTCCTATTGCGGAAGAAACGTTTTGGACAGTGGGCCAAGCAGCTCACCATCATACGGGACAGCAAGCTGCTGGTGAGCCCAGGCTGGTGGGGGACAAGAACCAGTTGGTGGGCTATGAGAGTGGTTGGGTCCAAGCTGAAGAAAAACAGCACTATCCAAGCCAAGACCCTGCTCCAAGGCTGTCACTGCCCCACAGCACATGCAGAGGCTGCCCTTGCTTCCCTTGCAAGCAAATGGAGGGCTCCTCCTTTTTTTGGGACCCCATGGAGGTCGAGGGCACCCTGCAGCCCTCCGCCACTGAAGCTGTGGCAGAGACTGAGCCACCTCTGTCTGTGCCACCTCTGAGGGACCCTGAGAGGGACCCTAGCTCTGCCCAGGACAGCAGCAGGACGGGCAGGTTTCATCTGAGCCCCGAGCCGTTCCTTTTGCTTTCCCTAGTGCTACAAAAGCTCCAAGGACCGGCAGCCACACATGGAGGTACCCCTGGCCACCTGCAACGTCATCTACGTGCCCAAGGACGGGCGGCGGAAGAAGCACGAGTTGCGGTTCTCGCTGCCAGGGGCCGAGGCGCTGGTGCTGGCCGTGCAGAGCAAAGAGCAGGCTGAGGAGTGGCTGAAGGTACCGCGGCTGCTCCACGCTGGGCCTGGGGGGCTGCAGGCACTCATTGGCATCTTTCTGGCTACTCCCCACCTCACCTGGGGCCCCATGGGCTCTCCTTGGCACCCTCCCTGGCTGAGGTGCGGAGGGAGCTGCCCTGGGAAAGGTCTTGCTCCCTGGAAGGGGAAGGGGCTTTGCTCCTGGCTCCTATCGGCTGGGGGGGGGGGGGGCTGCTCCACGCTGGGCCTGGGGGGCTGCAGGCACTCATTGGCATCTTTCTGGCTACTCCCCACCTCACCTGGGGCCCCATGGGCTCTCCTTGGCACCCTCCCTGGCTGAGGTGCGGAGGGAGCTGCCCTGGGAAAGGTCTTGCTCCCTGGAAGGGGAAGGGGCTTTGCTCCTGGCTCCTATCGGCTGGGGGGGGGGGGGGCAGGGATGTTTGCTCTCCCCCTTCTCTTCCCCATAGCCCTTTCCTGCCTTTGTTCAGGGGCGGGAGGCAGGGGCCGCGGGGAAGGCGCCGCAGGTGGGAAAGGAGCCTCTGCACACACCACAAACCCAGCTGTTACCCCAGATGTGGGAGAACAGGGTTATTTTACATGGCCAGGGCAAGCCACGCTTTGCCTGTAAAACAGAGGGTCATGAGGTGTCCTGTGATGGCAGGATGACTGTGCACCTTGGCACCCAAATTCCTCACTTCTGAGGTTTCCAAAATCTCCGATGAAACCTGCAAAGCTGGTTGTGGTTTTGAAGGGGGCAAGGTGTGTGCAGTCCCCCAGGCAAGACAGCTTGTACCTTGAGCAGGGCTTGCTATCCTGGCCTGCAGAGACCAGGACCTTTTTCCGCGTGGGTCAGCCCAGCTCCTGTGACAAGACAGGAGCCTGTTGAGGCAGTGAAAGCTGCCCTGGCCCACAGGTGTGTTCTGAGCGGCGGCTGGGGGCTGTCTCTGCAGGTGATAAAGGAAGCCAGCAGTCCAGCAGCAGGCGGGATGGAAGCCCCCACCTCCCCGGTGATGCCGTGCAAGATGGACCTGGATAAGGTGATGGTTTCCAACTGCCTCGCCGAGGTGCTGCACGGGGCTGCTGTGGCCGAGCCTGGGCAACGTGGAGCCAGGGGGACACTGAGCTCCTGGTGCTGCACGAGGAGACCTTCCCATCCTCGCAGCACCTCTGTGGGGTTTACAGGGCTCCCTGCTGCTGGGGAAGGGCAACGGGGCTCCCTGGGCCCTGAGGTACACCCCATCCCTGCGTGGCGGCAGGGTCGAGGGGCTGC